CCCCAAAACCCCAAAACCCCAAAACCCCAAAACCCCAAAACCCCTAAGGATGTATTTTGAGTTGATTTAAGAGAAGATTATACGTAATAAAGTTAAAAATAGATTATCTAATTATAACTTGCTAATTTTTATTCATGATAATAAGGAAGACTTTGGAATTGCTTAGAAATTTCGATATTTACGGTCATAATATCTAATTGCTATACAAAGGTTAGGAGAAAATGCAGACAATACCAGGTGCAGTAATGAGCTTGGTCTCTTACACAGTTCTCCTGTGGTATTTTATCCTTTTACTCATAGAAATACAACAAGACTAATACACATTGAAGCAATCAAGAAATGAGACTGATGTGACTAAAGTCGGGATAAATCTTGACAAGAGCAACTTTGATACTGCTTTTATGATAAGATCGCCAATTCTAAAGTAAAATGCGACCAGCAACATATACCAGTACTTGAGTTTTAAGGCAACATATATTGCAGAAGGATTTGAGAGCAGTGGTTAATCAGTTACTTAACAGTTTTAAGAATAAAGTCTTAATGTTGATGAGTGTTCATCAACAAGAATGTTTGGTAACCAATAATACTTAAACTATCGCCTCTCAAGACCAGATGCAATCTTTATTTGTTTCAATGAATTATAAGATTTTCAATTGTAAAGCTCAGAAAACACGATCCAATTTACCATAGACAAGTGTATCTAAAGTTAGCTTGATTTGAAATATCCTGGCTCAATCTGTGAAAAAGATAGCAATAAAATTCAAGCATTCATAAACAATACAAGATTGATAGCTTTTACTACACAATAATTCTTCGATATCAGTAGTTTTGAAGAAAGGCCAGTAAGAGATAAAATACAAACGGAAAATTACACTTTCTCAAGCTCTCAATAGACAGTTGCAAATTATGAATTAATGTTGAATCAAGGGACTGGAAGCAACTCTAAACTTCATGAAAATCTTGACACTTTTGATGTTTCTTATATCTATACCAAATTAGTATCAACTGACGTGCAGAATAGGAGAACGGGTGATGCTGATTACTTCACCTTTAAATTCTATGTAATGACAGAGCTAAACCAGGTTGAGAGAATCGCAAATAATTTAGTAACAGCCCTTTCAAACGTTGGAGGTCTTGCAGGAATTATTTTTTCCTTTGTAGCTTTATTGATATCTCCTCTTTAGGAATTTATCTTCTATCAATACCTCTTAAAGAAGAATTATTTAGTGGAGAGATCTAAAGTTTAACAATAATAGCATTCAAGCATTGATAACTTTTAGTAGAAACAACAGCAGTAGATAATAGATGATTCAGTCGATAAGATGAAAAGTAAAATGACTTAGGAAGATTTTAGAACATATATGCAATTGACTAAAGTTATCAAGGATAGACAGCCCTTTAGTATATCTACTATTTAAGCTATCAGATATAAATTAAAGTTTTTATTCTGTTGCTGTAGAAAGAGATATCAGAGTTATCAATTCGAATTATTTGAGTTTGGAAAATCGAAGATTGAGAGACAATTCGATATTTCAATTATACTCAGAGATATGAGATCATTTAAGATGGCTAATAACTTAGTCCTTTCCAAATTTTAGAGATAACTTATCCCCTATTTTAAGAAATCATTATTGAATTAAAAGTATGCCAATGATTAAGCTAGATAGAATAAAGAGAACGAGAGTGATCTCAGTAGGAGCATATAATAGCGTAAACTAAGAAATGAATTATTAGATGATGTATCACAATTAATGCTTGATTTGTTTGCTCACTAGTAGGGTCCAAATAGCCAATTTAACAACAAGGTCCTGGATAGTCTTTTCTCAGAGGATAAATATGATTAGAATCAAAATCTTAGAATGAAAATGTTTAGGGGATTACTGAGGTAGTTTTTCATTTCGAACTTAGAATTTGACGAAAGATAAGTAAAAAAAGGAGGAAATGCTGTATATGCTATAAATGATGGTCCAATGTCTTTCGGTATACCGATGGATGACCAGCAAGTTTATTCTCAGACAAATATATATAACTAATCAAGAGCATAACTTGCTGTTGAAGACATGAATTTAGAGTCCGAACCAAAATAGGCTACGATTAATTATATACCAAGAATTAATTGAAATACTTAAATGATTTATATTCAAATTTAAAATTTTAATGCAATTACTATTTTTAATCAAAAAACTAAATTAGCCAATGCCTCTAAAACACTGATTGAAGGGGTTTTGGGGTTTTGGGG